GAAATCTCCCCTTCACAGTGACCGCTGGAGAGAGCTTCATGTTTTTTAATGGGAAGATTGATTGGGCCTCGCCTCACCACTCTCGGAACGAAAAGCGAATGAATGCATCTTCCTGTGGAGAATGGCAAGATGCATCTTACGACTTTCTGCGGCAGATGCATTCGCTCTTTTCTCCGTGGCGAGGGTCATATTCGGGGGAATAAATGCTGATCGCGATCAATAACGCGAGGCACCTCTGGTGTTTACGCCTGCCCTTACCGAGTCAGCCTCTGGCTGGTCGTAGGAAGAAGAGGCGAAACTTCGCGCGGAAATGCTGACCACCTTGTCCATCTTCTACCTACCGGTTTGTTCGATCCTGTCCAAAAATTAGTTGGTACAAGAAAGTCAAGAGCACGCCGAGGCGGTGGGGATGTGCGAGGGATCTTCAGTGCCGATGAGGAAGATCGTCGATTAGCACACGTAAATTACACGGACGGATCGACGATCAAATAAAAATGTAGCAGTGCTGCCTAGGTAGCGCCGGTGCCCACAGCAGAAGTGCGGGACAGGGAAAGGACGAAACTATCCTGCACGAGCGGTTCTTCAGCAGTGCGCGGGGTACAGGGCGCGGGGTGCAGTCTTGTCTCCCTCGGTGTTCGTTCGTGCCCACCCTCCAGTATTGGCTCGCTGGTCGGAGAGAGGAGGCGTCGGCCGCCGGTTGGCGGAGCAGATCGGCGAAATAGGCATCAGTTGGCGGGCCGGACCATCGCATGGGCCCGCAACCGACGCATCATATATGAGATTCGGATTCTGCGGGATCGCGATTGCGAACTTCAGTGTGTGATCGGCGGGGTTTTTGGACCATCTCTCGAGTCGACTTGTTTCATCCGCGCGCGGGGTCTTCTCAGTATCGTTGCAAGTTAAAGTTAATGGATGTCCCGCCGAAGGTCGATTGGGGGGATTTTCAATTTCAACTTCTGGCGGTCTACCGTAGTACGCGCTAAATCGTGTAGCGTGAAGTTGAAGTTGTTGCGTGCGAACGTTTGGACGAAGCGAGGAGGAGGGAGGTCTACATGTCATGTAGTCCGATCGAGTGCGCGCCAAGGGACCTGCTGGACTGCTCTATCGAAATTTTGGCGGGAGCAGGTTTTCAACTTTCGCCGGGAGCGGGGAGGCCCCAGCTGTGGTGTCTTGTGGGAGGCAAAATCTTTTTGCCCCGCTCATCTGGTCATCTGTAAACCGCAAACATGACGTCTCGGGAAATGAGCACTGTCCCTGCAGATCCGAAGCAGTGGACAAAGGAGGTAATTAGTGCTCTTCTTCTTTATATTTATACGATGAACTCTTCTCTCCTGAATCACCAGTTTTCCACACTGTAAGGTATCCCCCCCGGCCGTAAGCTGCTGTTCGCGCAGCAGTCATTTACTCGTAGGGAGGGTGGTCGTAGTGCCAGTATACGAGGGAATTCTTCTTCCGCGAATGGCCGTTGTGAAGCCATCGCCCCGCCGCGAGGTGCTCTTCTCTCAGTTGTTATTTACTACTAGTAGCGAGGTTGGTACTGGTGCTGAAATGCAAGGTAATCAACTCTTCTTCATTCCTTCGTCCAGCAATGACCTCGTCTTTCCCTAACATGGGAACGCATCGCCCATCACTGGTCTGCTGTTCTCTCCGCAGTCATTTGCTCAAGAGGGGAGGGAGCAAGCAAGCAATCTCGTAAGCAAGGCTGGTTCATCATTCCTCCAGACATCACACGATCCTGAACTGACGTCATGATATTTCCCGCATTGCCATCCTAAGGCGTCCTCCTGTTCTTTTTCTGGGGGTATGTGTGTGTGCTCGCGTGGCTAAAGCCTGTTGAATGAAGCCATTGAGGTTTGCCCTTTCTTCTTGTCGATGGTATATCCTTTTTCCTCTTCCTCCCGCTTCTTCAGTTTTTCTCCGTTTTTCTTTGCATTCCTCTGGCCAGTGTTGAGGAAGGAGGGGTTAGTGATCATAATGATGATGATTCCCGCCATGATTTGTATACATGACAATTATGACAGCCATGCCTCTGGCTGATTCATACTCCTTACTTCTTTTCTCCGCCTTTTTTTTTCAGTATTTTTTAGTTTCTCCTTTCTACGTATTGATCCTTCCAGTCGTGGATGATTGTGCTCTTGCCGCTTTAGTGTCGTTTTCTTTACTCGTTGGAGATCATCCTCCGGCGAAGGTATCGCTGTTACGGTACGTCTTGGTAGTTCGGATCAGAATAGCATTGGTCGATCGAAGGCCGGGGCGCATCCGGGGGTGCAGTGCTCATCAAAAGCTAAGCTATGTTTGCGAGAGACACATATCGTATATGGAATGAAAGTGACACTAAATGCGAGGCTTGCATCTTATAGCAGAGGCATAGATCATACAACAGACATTAAGTGTCCATGGGGATGGGGTCGAGCGTAGGTCGATCATCACTCATCTCGACTCAGTATGCAGGTAACGATCTAGAGGCACACATGTCTAAGGTTGGCATTTTCGCCCAAGAGAAGAGAAGTGAAGAGAAGAGAAGAGAAGAGAAGAGAAGAGAAGAGAAGAGAAATAGAGAAGACGAATAGAGAAGACGAATCATGGGAATGGTGGTTCGCGATGGATCCATCGAGTGGGTGATTGTCGGCAAAAGAAAGCTCGTTCTTTTGCTATAAGGATACCCACCTCACTTTGCCGTCGTCTCTACGTCCCTTTCTCTTCATCGACCATGATTCAGTCGACGACAGTGGCCGCCGACTGCCGTACTCGCTGCACATGTGACCGCATGCGCACTTTCTGTGGTTGTGTGCCTGCGCTAGAGGCTGTGTGTGTGTGTGTGTGTGTGTGTGTGTGTGTGTGTGTGTGTGTGTG